AAATCGATAAGCCTCTAGCCAACCTTATTAAAAGAAGGGAAGAGCTCAAATACATGCAATAAGAAATGAAAAAGGAGAAGTCACTACAGACTCAATGAAAATACAGAAGATCATTAACAACTATTTCGAAAACCTCTACTCTCAAAGGTTTGATAACACAGAAGAAATAGACAGACTCTTAGAAACATATGAAGTACCAAAGCTAGATTAAGAGGATATAAAACTGCTGAATAACCCAATCTCTATCATGAAATTGAACATGTAATTAATTCCTTACCTACAAAGAAAAGCCCAGGCCCAGATGGATTTACTGCAGAATTCTACAAGAAATACAAACAAGACCTAATACCTACACTCCTTAAACTCTTCAATGAAATTGAAAGGGAAGCAATTCTTCCGAAGTCATTCCTGGAAGCAAATATTACTCTAGTACCAAAACCCGGGAAAGACCCAACCGAAAAAGAGAACTACAGACCAATCTCCCTAATGAACACAGATGCAAAAATCCTCAATAAAATATTGGCAAATAGGATGCAGCAAATCATCAAGAAGATTATACACCATGACCAAGTGGGATTCATCCCAGGCATGCAGGGATGGTTCAACATACGTAAATCAATAAATGTAATCCACCATATCAATAAAGCCAAAAGAAAGAATCACATGGTCATTTCCATAGATGCAGAAAAAGCCTTCAATAAGGTCCAACATTCATTCATGATAAGAACTCTACAGAAAATTGGAATAGATGGTCTTTACCTCAATATAATAAAGGCTGTCTATGACAAACCAACAGCCATACTAAATGGCCAAAAATTGAAAGCCTTTACTTTAAAATCAGGGACAAGACAAGGATGTCCTTTATCACCTCTCCTATTTAATATAGTACTGGAAGTACTAGCCAGAGCAATTAGACAAGAGAGAAAAATAAAAGGGGTAAAGATAGGAAAAGAAGTTAAATTGTCATTATTTGCAGATGACATGATACTCTACATAGAAGACCCCCTAAACTCCGTTGAAAGACTCTTAGATATAATAAATAAATTCAGTAATGTAGCTGGGTATGAAATCCGTACTCAGAAATCAATATCATTCTAATATACTAACAACAAAATCACAGAGAGAAATAAGAGAGGCTACACTCTTCACACTAGCAACCAAAAAAATGAAATATTTAGGAATTACTCTTACAAAAGAAGTGAAAGACCTATACAGGGAAAATTATAATACACTGAAGGAAGAAATTGAAGATGATCTCAGAAAATGGAAAGACATCCCATGTTCATGGATAGGAAGAATAAACATTGTGAAAATGGCCATTCTCCCAAAACTGTTATACAGATTCAATGCAATCCCAATAAAAATACCATCAACATACCTTATAGATCTAGAGAAATCACTCCTAAGGTTCATCTGGAACCAGAAGAGACCTAGAATATCAAAGGCAATTTTAAGCAACAAAGGCAAGGCAGGAGGCATCACAATCCCTGACTTGAAGTTATACTACAAAGCAATAGTAGTAAAATCAACATGGTACTGGAATCAAAACAGAGCAGAGGATCAGTGGAATAGATTAGAAGATACAATCACAACTACAGACACACTCAACCACCTTATCTTCGATAAAGGAGCCAAGCAGGTTCACTGGAAGAACGACAGTCTTTTTAATAAATGGTGTTGGAAAAACTGGCTCTACATTTGCTGAAAACTAAAACTCGACCCAAGCCTATCACCATGTACTAAATTAAAATCTAAATGCATTAAAGATCTGAATATTAAAACAGAAACACTAAATCTATTGGAAGACAAATTAGGTAGAAACCTTGAAGACATAGGGGTAGGTAGAGAATTCATGAACAGGACTCAAACTGCACGGGAAATACTTGCCAGAATCAATAACTGGGACTACCTTTTATTAAAAAGTTTCTGTAAGTCAAAAAAAATCTCCAGCATAGTGAAAAGAAAACCCACAAATTGGGAAAAGGTCTTAGTGAACTCCCCCTCAGACAAAGGACTTTTGTCTAAAATACATAAAGAATTAAAAAAAATCACACCCCCAAAATTCAAAGACCCAATCCAAAAATGGGCATCTGAGATGAATACACACTTCTCAGAAGAAGAAATACAAATGGCAAATAAATACATAAAAAAATGTTCATCATCATTAGTCATTAGAGAAATGCAAATTAAAACCACACTGAGATTCCATCTCACTCCTGAAAGGATGGCCAGGAACAAGAAGACCAACAACAGCAAGTGCTGGAGAGGCTGTGGGGAAAAAGGAACTCTCCTGCACTGTTGGTGGGAGTGTAAATTGGTACAACCTTTGTGGAGGTCAGTCTGGAGATTTCTCAAAAAGCTGGGACTGGAAGTCCCATTTGTTCCAGCTATTCCACTACTAGGCATCTTCCCAGAAGAACTGAAAGCATCATACCAAAGTGATATATGCGCACCTATGTTTATAGCAGCACAATTTGTAATAGCCAGATCATGGAAACAACCCAAATGTCCATCAACTGAGGAATGGATAAAAAAGCTGTGGTACTTCTATACAATGGAGTACTACTCAGCTATAAAGAAGGATCACATTGAGGTATTTATCAATAAATGGGCGCAGCTTGAAACCATAGTCATAAGTGAACTAAATCAAACTCGCATCTGTGAACTCCAAATAGTTTCTCTAGTGTAGGAAATGAATCAAATATATAAAAGTACATGATAACCACGATTCCCCATTATATGGCCTTGAAGCCTTATAAAATTTTCACTCATTAATTGGAATGGCTTTATTCTGGGCTGTTTGATATCATGGCCGGTGATGCAATGAACAGCCACTTTGAAGAAAATAAGACATAATAACAGCTAGTGCAGATTTAATGACATCTTGTCTTAAAGCCACACCAAACTATGGTTCTTCTGTCTCCATTGATTTTATCATGTTGTAACTTGCTGGATTTTATCATATGTGGTAGTATAAACAAAAATTGTTATAGGCAAAGAGATAATATTGAAACCATTGATCATTTTTTCTGTTAGTTGGCTCTAAATACTCTACAATGCTTTCATCTACTTGAATGGTGTTACAGAGTCTTGATATGTTTGATGCTATAGCATATGAAGTTATATCCAAATATTTCAAAGAAAAAGACACTATGGTAACTACTATTAAGTCGGGTTATTTGGTGGTGAAGCACTAGGTTGCTGAAAGTGCTTTTTAACCTGTATTGTTATGTTGTTATGCCCCCTTTTATCTCATCCTCTCCCTTATTCATTAAAAAATTATTTAATTTTTTTTTAAATATATCAACCAATAAAAAATGTTCCTGGATCTGTAGGGAAAAAGAAACCCTTTACAACTGTTGGTTAGAGAGTAGACTAGTACAAACACTGTGGAAATCAGTGTGGAGATTCCTCAAAAAATTAGGATTAGAGGTCCCTTTCAACCCAGGTATTCCCCTTCTGTGTATCTTCCCAGAAGGATTGAAAAACATCACACCACAGTGACATATGTGAAACCATAAGGTTCAAAATATACAATAGTCACTGTGAAATGGGAGGAAGCTGTTCAATAAAAAGAAGAAACTAAGAGAGGGGAAAAGAGAAAGGATAGAAGGGAAAAGAAACAAATGCAAGTTAGTTATACCATTAGTGTCACTTAGTTCACTGAATAGGAAAGGTTGTGCTAATATTGATTGAAGAAATTTTTATGCCCATATTTTGTACTTGAGTGACTAAAGATAATGATGTGTAATTTATCAACAATTGTTACTTTTTCATTATTTTGTTGTGAAAATTTATTTTACCTTTTCTTCTTAATATTAACAAATAAAGTAATTTTTTTAAAAAGCGCTTTATTAGCAGAGCTCAGCAGCGACACTGCGGCAGACAGCAGTCAGGACAATGTGCGCCTGAGCCAGGGGCTGCAGGGAGTTATAAGGTAGCAAGCCGAAAGGGGAGGGGTCAGAGTCTTAGGATCAGTCTGCACAAAAGGAACCAGGGAGGCAGGGAGGGGGTTACATGGTGGGTATATTACAAGGTTGTAACTTAAACGGCAATTACACAAGTTTTACAGGATGAGAAAAAGTTATAATAAATACAGCACATTTTGGATTTTTAAGCTTATAACATTTCCCACTGCTTCTGGTCACTGAGTCAAATCTTTGACTCTGTTGCATAATCATGTATAGATAACTGGTTCTATCTTTTTGTCTAAGTATAAGCATTTTAACAGCTTGAAATGGGTCCTGGATGTGATTTAGAAGGTACTTTATAATACATGGCCCGACGGTTAAAGCAAGTAAGAAGAAAACAATTGGACCTATTAGAGCTGAGAGTAGGGTGGTCAGCCAGGGGGACAGTGAGAACAGGTTTTGGAAACAGTTTTGAACAAGTTGTCATTTTGCTCCCGTTTATGGGATCTGTTTTTTTTTTTTTTTTTAAGCTTGTTTATGTGATCTCCTATGACTCCAGAGTGATTGGCATAGAAATAGCAAGCCTCTTCTAAGGCTACGCACAGTGGTTTTGGAGAACCATTTGTGTCAGAGACCCGAGAGATTCTTCCAATTTGGATACAGAATGTTCTAGTGTTGCCAAATCTTTGTCTATTAAGGCACTTAGTTCTCAGTTGTTTTGGTCACCAATTATTAAGATTGTAGCTCCCAATGCTGGGGCTTCAGAGAGACCTAGTCCCATCAAAATTGGTATTAACATAGAGACTGTTCAAGCTGTCCTAAAGAGATCGGATTTTAAATTTAAGTGTTCTCTTCCATTAGTGCCAGAAAACCAGTAAACTTGGGGAAATACATGTGTAAGAATACATAGTTTAGTATGTCTAGTAAATATATCAAGCATGACACAAGGAGTTAAACCTAAAGTATAAGCAAACCAATATCTTGTAGGGGCTTCCAGGCATTGACTCAGCGCGTAAGAGACATTAGTTATTACAGTAGAATCAGAACACAAGTTTGCATAGGGGATAGAATTGAAGTTATAGGCAGCAGATCTGACATAAGTTTTATTACCGTGAACATTTTTTAAGGTAAGAATGGGTTGGATTATGGCTGGCTAACAAAGCAAGCTGTATATGACAAGCAAAGAGGATTGTCAAGAGCATTTTGACAATTTAAGTTTAAGGGGGTTCTCAGTCCGTGTGACAGTCCACAGTTCCCTGGGCATCTGGTGAGATAACCTTGATGTGAGAATGATATATCCAGGTAGGTTTTCTGCTACTTTTGCAGTTGTAGGGGTGCTGAGGACAACAGTGTATGGTCCAGTCCAGCAAGGTTCAAGAGAAGAGTTGCAGGAACGTCGCTTAAGTAGCATTGGATCTCCTGGGCTTGTAGCCAGAGGGGTCTCTCTGGTGCATGTGGCCTACTTGGTGGTCTCGAAAGAGTTGGTGGACGGAAGTCAGCACAGGTTGAAGAACCTGTAGGGACTTAATTAAGCTGTGGTTAGCAGTCTCTGCCAAATGGGTACTACCAAGGCGGGGAACGAGAAGTAGCAGTGTCACATAGACTGCCTCAAAAGGGGGTATTCCATCTATGTGTGGAGGACAATGCATGCGCAAGAGGGCAAAAGGAAGGAGCCTCACCCAGTGTTTGCCAGACCTTAAAATCAATTTGCTAAGCATCTCTTTTAATGTCGATTCATCCTTTCAACTTGACCTGAACTTTGGGGATGGTAGGCACAGTGAAATTTCCAATCAGTCTGTAATAACCGAGCAACTTTATTAATGATGGAAGCTATGAAAGCCAGACCATTGTGGGACCCCATAGATAAGGGAAGACCAAATCTAAGAATTATTTCATATAAAAGCTTTTTGACAACAATCAAGGCTGATTTGGTCTTTGTCAAGCATCCCTCCATCCATCCAGTGAAAGTGTCCACCAGAACCATCAAATACTTATGTCCATGTAGTCCTGGTTTTCCCATGTCTGTGAAATCAATTTTCCAGTGTTCTCCTGGAAAAGTTCCCCAGTATCGAATTTCCTCTGAGACAGTGGTGACTTTAGTATTTACATGCAGACATTGTGGGCATCTTTGACTGACTTCCTTTGCTAATTGAGTCAGCTTAGGAATGAAATACCTGTTCCGAAGCAACTCAGCCAGTTTTGAGCCTCCTAGGTGTGAGGCCTGGTGGATTTGAAGGATCAAGTCTCTTTTTAAGGCAGTGGGTATTAAAATTTGTCTGTCTGGCAATTGAAGCCAATTTTCAGGGGGCTCTTGTTTTGCTCAGTCGTCTAGCTAGCTCTTGATCTGACTCGGAATACACCAATTGGGGCAAACAAGGGGGTGGCAGAACTGGCAGCAATTGGGCCATAGGCTGTACAGATGACTTTAGAGCTGCCTCTTGAGCCTTCCTGTCAGCGAGAGCATTTCCTATCGAGATTGGATCTTTTCCCATCTGGTGGCCCCTATAATGTACCACTGCTATAGATTTGGGGAGCCAGATAGCGGCTAACAAGTCCAGGATAAAAGGAGCATTCTTAATCTTTGAACCAGTAGCGATTAAGAGCCCCCTCTCTTGGTAGATTGCCCCATGTACATGAACGGTAGCAAAAGCGTAATGGCTATTCATGTAGATCCTTAGCCAACTTTAGGGCCTCCGTGAGGGCAGTGAGTTTGGCCCTTTAAGTAGAGGTGCCTTGATCCAGGGGTTGGGCCCAAATTACTTGTGTTTGAGTGGTTACAGTCACCCCTGTCATCCATTTACCTTCAAAAGGAAGCTGCTGCTATTGGTGAAATATTCAACATCTGGATTCTCTAATGGAAGTAAGGTCTTGACGAACACTGGTAGTGGTAGAGAGCCAGTCCATGCCATCATGGATGGGTACCTGTGGGTCATCATCTAGCAGCAAGGTTGCTGGATTTAAGACAGTAATCTCTTTGAATTCAATAAGGTCAGAGTTAAGCAAGAGGGCCTGGTGTTGTACAATCCTCATGTTTGAGAGCCATCTGTTGAGTGGGACCCTGAGGAGGGTTTCAATTGCATGAGGAGCCACAACTTAGAGTTTCTGTCCAAAAGTTAGTTTATTTGCCTCTTTTACTATCAAAGCAGTGGCTGCGATGGCTTGCAGGCAATTTGGCTAGCCCAAAGAAACTGAGTCTAACCTTTTTGAGAGAAAAGCAATTGGGTGGCACCATGGTCCTAACATGTGAGTCAATATCCCGTTTGCTATCTCATGCTGATCTGCAATGAACAGCAGAAGTGGACAAACCCTGAAATTGTCAATCTTTTTCCAATAGGACCCCAGGGCTGATTTCCCCTTTCTCCAATTTGGCCTATAATTTTGGACAATTCTTTTTCCAGTAGCCCAATTCTTTGAAGTATGCACATTGATTTTTGTCTAGTGGAGCCCTCGTTTATTGGTCTTTTTCCTTTTTACCTTGAGTATGGCCTTCTGCTAGGATAGCCAGGATCTTGGTCAATTTCTTGTCTTCCGGGTCTTCCCTGTTGTCAAAGACCTTTTGAAACTATCTATCAACTGACCTATCATCATCCCTTCAAAATCCTCTAATTTTTACAACTTTCATTTAATATCAGGGGCCTACTGAGAGATGAATACTATGTCAATAGCTCGTCTATTCTCTGGTGCCTCTGGGTCTATAGGTGTATATATATACACAATAGGCCTCTAGAGGTACTCAAGGAAAGCCAACGGAGACTGAGAAGCCAATTGTCTTACCTCAGTTACTTTTGATAAGTTGGTCGGCTTTCGGGTGGCACCTCAGAGTGCCACAAGAAGAGTCTGATGGTAGCAATCGAGAGGCTCCTTACCTCCATCCGTGTTGGGGTCCCAGTTAGGGCAGGTCAAAGGGAAAACAGCATTGAGCCTCATTAAGTCCGAAGTGGGTTCCCTGTTAGTGTTGAGGACCGATCAGCGTGCCAAGGTACGAATCCATTCGCATTCCTAGGATGTGAATAGAGTCTGCAACAGCTGTTGGCAGTCATCCCAGGTTGGCCGATGGATGAAACAAATGGTCTCAAGGAGAGATATTATAGCCTGAGAGTCCTTAGAGAAAGGCAGATTCTGTAATTTCTAATTGTATAAATCACTAGTAGAGAAGGGGACATAGGTGAAAATAGATCCCTGAGAGGAGTCCAAGGGAGGGACTTCTTGGAGGGGTAGAATGGAGGGTGGTTCAGTGGAGTCAGGGATAGGCATGGAGGGAGAGAGGGGGATGGTGGGGGGCAACGGCTGCGGGTGCAGGGTGGACTGGGAGGGCTAGGGGTCCATGGGGGACAGTTCTGATGAGCTTGGGAAATCAGGGTGGTAAGTAGGGGGCCAGGAAGGAGGAGGGGAATCATCATCATCGGGAGGAGGGAGAATAGCAGGAGGAGGTGACACCTTAGTTTTCATCATTGCCACAAGAAGAGATTGTGCCCCTTCTCATCCGAATTTTCTTATCCATGAAGGGTGTCCTGGATCAGGTCAATCCAAACTTCAGTAGAGCCCACCTGATCGGAATGTGTGGCTGGGTTATGTGAGGGTCCAAAAATGACTTGGCGGACGTGTTGAGAGACTGTGAAAGCCACTCAACATCAAAGGAAGGCCATTCAAGTTCACAGAATGTTCTTAGTTTCTTAGAGGAGACAGGATTTCCATGTCCGGCAGCTCAATTCTTAAAATCTTTAAAATGATTAAGAACGAGTTGCAAGGGTACAAAAGGGAGGAAGCTGGTTGGCCCATAATAGACACGCGAGACAAGGGGTGCAGAGAAGGGAGCAAAGACAAGATGGCAGAGGCCCGCCCCAGAGACGGAGAGCTGTCCAAAAAGCTGTAACAACTGGAGCAGGTTCTCACTTTGCAACCACTGGTTAAAATCGCCAGGTGGCCACTCCCCTGCTTGCTAATGGTAGAACTGTCCCAGGAATTTAACCAGTTTGCAGCTGCAGTCTAGCATGAAGAGCATGCTTTTCAACCGAGTAACCCAAATAGCCCCACCAAAAAAAAAAATCTAATTTAGTTAATTCAAGTTAATCAGCTGATATAAAAACTATAGGAGGCAGTTTACATACTAGGTCCGGCTTAAATTGTAAGAATTCTCAGTAATAGATGAATCAGGGACAGAACAAGAAGACAAAAATATAGGAGAGCTAAGACAAGATTTTGGCCCAAATGGGAGCAAGTCTGAGCACTTGACTCCCCAAGTGTGTGGTGCACCCAGCGGAGGTCAATTCCTCCCTCAAACGGCAGTAATCTGCCCCAATTTTGGCGACTCTGCCCAAATGGGAGCAAGCCTGAAAACTTGACTCCCCAAGTCATAGAAAGGAGAAAATCACAGAGCAAAATGAAAGTAATAAGTACTTGCCAGTAGAAGGAAGCCACATTCAAAGAGGTCCTGATGTCATCCGAAGAGTAGGAGCCCAGGGTGAGGATAAATCCTGTAAAATGTGGGATCCTGAATGAGCCTCCAAATGATAGGGGTAGAAAAATGACAGAGTCCAAAAAATTTTAAAAAGCACTTTTTTAGCTGAGCTCAGTGGCAACACTGTCCCGGATAGCAGTCAGGAAAGCATGTGCCTGAGCCAGGGGCTGCAGGGAGTTAGGAAGTAGCAAGCCGCCAGGGGAGGGAGGGATCAGGAGTTTGCATCAAAGGAACCAGGCAGGCGGAACAAGCAGTTCCAGGAACCAGGGAGGCAGGAAGGGCTTCGTGGTGGGTGTGTTACAAGGTTGCAACTTAACTAGCAATTACACAAGTTTTACAGGAAGAGAACAAGTTATAATAAGAGCAGCATATTTTGGATTTTTGAGCTTATAACAAAAATATAGAGGCCTAAATATACCAGTTCAAAATAGAATTTCAAAAAAATACCATGAAAGTAATAGATTTTTTAGATGACCCAATATATGGTCTGTATAAGAAACCCATGCAAACATAATAGTAAAGGTAAGTAGATAAAAAATGAAAGAATAAAGTGCATCACTCTTTTTTTAAAGCAGAAGTAGCTATATTGACATCAGAGAAAGTTGAGAGAATGATTAGCAGCAAAAAGTATATTACATAATGATAAAAGTGTCAATCCACTAAAATATATGCTCATCCTAAATATGTATAACCAGACTTTTACTTATATATCAACTGAACTGAAAGGAAGAAACAGACAAATGCACAATTATAGTTGGGAGCTTCCACATCCTTTTCTTACAATTGTCAAGACTACTAAAGCAGATCAGCAAAGATACGGAAGAACTGAATTTGTACTATTAACCAGAATAATTTGGTTTATTTATGAAGTCTTCCTTTTTTTTTTGTCTTTTTCCATTTAACAACAGCAGAATATGCATTCTTTTCAAGTGTCCATGGAAGTTATACAAAATTAGATGTATCTTCAACAAACTTAAAGGAATCAACACTATAGAGTTTAGTGTCCGAAATCAAACTAGAGACTATTAAATAGTAGGAAAATCACCAAGAACTTTTGTCAGAGAGTAAATCTCAAGGGAAGTTTTTAAAAGTATGCTAATAAGAATAAAAATACATTGGATTTCATGGAGCTCGGAAAAAAAAAAGAATAAAAATACAATTTTAAAATTGGTAGGATATAGCTAGTACTGAAAGGGAAGTTCTAGCCTAAATGCTTCTACTAGAGCAGTAATGTCTCAGTTGTTCAATAGAACGTCCTACCTCAAGAAGGTAGGAGCCAGGTGTGGTAACTGATAGAGTTATTTCCAAAAGATGAAAAATATTAACAAAAGATGAGAAATATAAAATAAAAAGCGGCCTTTATTCTGAGAACACGGAGAGAGATGACCGGCACCCCCACCGCTGGCGTCCAGTGATGTCTCCGGCAGACACGCGGCGTGGGTGCATGTAAATAGCCTCGGTTTGGGGTGGAACCTAAGGCGGGCATTAGGGATACACAGGTAGCCCATTGGTCCTAGGTTTGGCGCCATATGTAAATTCCCAGGGGCGGGAAGATGGCGTCACAGGTAACTTCCTAGGGGCAGGGCAAGATGGGGCTTCCTGCTTCCGGTTGTGGCTTTCCTGGCTACAGTGTCCTGTCTGGGCCAAAACCTTTCAGTAACATATGCCTGTAATCTCAGCTCTTGGGAGGCTGAGGCAGGAGGAATGCCATGTGTTTGAGGCCAGCCTGGACTACACAGTGAGCTCCAGTTTAGCCTGAACTACCCAGCAACATCCTATCTCAAAACAAAACAATACAAGAAAGTAGAAAAAGATGACTAGGGCTGGGGATTTAGCTCAGCGGCATAAAGCGCCTGCCTTGTAAGCAGGCAGTCGTGAGTTCGATCCCTGGTACCAATAAAAAGGAAAAAGACAAAAAAAAAAAAAGATGACCAAAATAAGCTTGAAGAAATAATGAAGAGCAAAAGTCAATGACATTAAAAATGTAAAAGTAATAGAGAAAATGAATAAACCCAAAAGGTGATAATGTCTAGCAAGACTTACCAAAAAAGAAGCAAGATACAAATTGCTAATAGCAGAAATAAAACCAAGAGTGTCACTACAGATCCTGTAGACAGTAGAAGGAAAATATGAGAATATTTCTATGCACATACATTTAAAAATTATATACAGTAGTTCAGTTCTTTTGAAAGTACATGACTCAAACTTTTAATCTGAATAATCCTATAACCATTAAAGAAATTCAATTTGTAGTGAAAAACCTTCCAAAAAAGAAGTCTCTAGATTTAGACAGTTTCATGGGGGATATCTAACAAGCATTTAAAACAAATTGACATCAATTCTGTACAATCTTTTCCTGAAAATGAAGCAGGAGAAACATTTCCAACTTAATTTTATGAGACCAGTATTACACTGATAACTAAACCAAAGTACAAAACAAAAACAAAAACCCGCTATAGACCATTATCTTTCATGAACATATCTGTAGAAATCCTCATGACATTAAATAAAACCCAGTCACTCTTAAAAAGAAATGTACATTGGACCAGGTAGGATTTATTCTAGGAATGTCAAACTGGTTCAATGTACAAAATGAAACAAGGGTGTAACTTGCTATACCAGCATGCAACAGAAGAAAAACCACCTTATCATATATCAGTTGATGTACTAAGAACATTTGCCAAAATTTAGCAACCATTCATAATGAAATTTCAGAAACCTAGGAACTAGGGCTTGTTTGTTTTGAGACAGGGTCTCACTATGTAGTGTAGGCTGACCTTGAACTCACTGTGTAGTCCAGGCTGGTTTCAAACTCAAAGCAATCCTCCTGCCTCAGCCTCCCAAGTGCTAGTATTATAGGAGTGTGCCACCATGCCTGGCTAGGAAATAGATTTCTAGATAGAATCTTTTTTCTAAAAAAATCTACATCCGGGGCTGGGGATTTAGCTCAGCGGCATAAGTACCTGCCTTGCAAGCAGGCGGTCATGAGTTTGATCCCTGGTACCGATAAAAATGAAAAAGACAAAAAAAAAATCTACATCCAATATTGTGCTTAATGGTGAAAGACTCCTTTGTCATTGAGTTTAGAAACAAAACAAGGGTGTTCACTCTTACTACTTCAACACAGTCCTAGCCAATGCAGTAAAGCAAGACAAAGAAATAAAAGTTATATAGATTGGGCCTTTTCTTCCACATGCCCAGCACAGGCAGAGAGAGCTAGAAGATCTGCCTCTGCCTGCCAGGTGCTGCCACCAGAAGACCCTTTCTTCCTCATGCCCAGTGTGGGCCAAGGGAGACAGACAGATCCACCTCTGCCTGCTGTGCATTACCGCCTGCAGGTGGCCAGCATGGGCAGAGAGAACTAGCAGATCCCCCTTCAGCTTCAGGGAGCTGCCAACAGAAGGCTCCTTCCTGCAGGCAGCCAGCAGGAGCAGGGACACACAGCCAGATAAGCCCTGTGCATCCATAGGCCAGCATTGGAGGCCCTTGGTTCCCTCAGGCAGCCATCATCCACTAGCAGAATCAGACAAACACACCGCTGTGTGTCTGCCACCATCGTGGGAGTCCCAGTGTAGACACACAGGCTAAGAGAAGCAACCCCACCTCCATGCCCTGCTATCTCCCTGTAAATCTGGAATTAGAGGAACCCATGTGCCTGTCCCATCCCCCTACACTGCCTAAGGGCAGCCAACATGGGAAGTGCCTGGGACCCCACAACCATCTTGTTGGAAGGAACCCAGGAGAATGTCAAGATGAAGGAGCAAAAGGCAAACTCAGACCTCTAGCCCACACAGAATAAGTCTAGGAGATACAGTCATGGAAAACAGATGTCACACAACTGAAATCTGAGAGGATAGCAACTGAAGTAAGGAATCAACTTCATAAGATTGTCAAATCAGAAACAACGTCTCAGGTAACAGAAGAAATCACAAACATACTGAAAGAATTGTTCAGCAGGTCTAAAGAAGACATAGATTTAAAAAAAAAAGAGGAAAATTATGGAAACCTTGAATGAATGTAGAAAGGAATTATAATGCATGAAACAGATTCAAAGAGAGATCCAGGAAATTAAAAATTCAATCGAAAGCTGGCAAAATTGCTTGAAAGAGACTGAAGATAAATTTTCAAACCTTGAAGATAGGATTGTAGCTAGTGATTCTGAAAGGAAAGATCTCTTAAAAATAACACGGAATCAGGAAATAATTCAATGGCTAAAACATGATACAAAGAAGCATAATTTAAGAATGATAGATGTTGAGGGGGCTGGGGATTTAGCTCAGCGGCATAAGCACCTGCCTTGCAAGCAGGAAGTCGTGAGTTCGATCCCTGGTAACGATAAAAAAAAAAAGAAAGATCAAAGAAAGAATGATAGGTGTCGGTGAAGAAAGCAGGGGTCAACACAAATGAAATTAAAAGGGTATTCACAAAAGTAATAGAAGAAAACTTTTGAAATATGGGAAATAAATTTGGCATGCATGTAAGTAAGGCATATAAGACTCCAACTAGCCATAACCAAAGTAAAGCTACACCCAGACATACAATAATCAATATCCCAGAAATTCAGCACAAGAAAGAATATTAAAAGCTATTAGAGAAAAGAAACAGATCACCTATAAAGGAAAACCAATCAGAATCACAGCAGACTTATCAACACAAACCATCAGGGCAAGAAGAGTTTGGAGTGAAGTGTTTCAAGCCCTGAAAGAAAACAACTTCCAACCCAGATTGATCCAGATTTAAAACAACTTCCAACCCAGATTGATCCAGATTTAAAACAACTCCCAGATTGATCCAGATTTAAAACCACTTCCAACCCAGATTTAAAGATAGCAAAACTATCTTTAAAAATTGATGGAAAGGGGCTGGGGATTTAGCTCAGCGGCATAAGTGCCTGCCTTGCAAGCAGGCAGTCGTGAGTTCGATCCCTGGTACTGATAAAAAGAAAAAAGATGCCCCCCAAAAAAAAATTGATGGAAAAATAAGATACTTCCATGATAAAGAACAACTGAAGGAATTCATGACTACCAGACCAACCCTACAGAGAGATCTAAAGAATATTCTAGAGAGAGATAAAGATGATCATGGTTCCAGGAACAGCAGCAGAGGAAGATCGCCAAACAAGACAGGCAATTGAATGAAGGAAAAGTGGAGGGCCAACAGCAGGAGGACAGCAGGACAAAGACAAACCAATGTATGCTGGTTGTA